GAGAGAGGGTCATTAAAACATGTAGAAAGAAGAGAGGGAGAAAAAGAAGTATTTTGGGCTGGAGAGAGGACTGTCACACTTTTGTGTTTTCCTTGTAAAACCTGACCAAACTGTACCTGAAAGTATCACCAAAGACAGTTATAAGAGGTGAAATCCTTTGCAGCAGATATAAAGAAACTGAGACACTGTAAGTAAATACTTCCAAAGTAAAACAAAGAGATTAGGCTGAAGTCTGATGGTTGGGAAAGTCCTGTTTGTTTGCAGCTTCCTCAAAATAAGGAGCCAAAAGCCTGATCCTGAAAATGCTTACTTGTATGAATGGCCCTACTTAAGTCAATGCAAGGAGTTGCCTGGCACAAAACACAAAACTTGGGCTAGAAAGAAAATTATAAACTGCTCCTTATGATGTTGCGGTTGTCAGTTGGATTCCAAGATATAGTGAGACATACTTTTAGCGCTCTTACTGTTATAAGAAACCATGTTCTTATAGCCGAAAAAGGGATATGAAATAAAAATGAGTAACATGCCCATTGCTACCAGGGAGAAGAAGGCTGGTCTTGTGGTTATGTCCCTGCACTGGGAATCCAAAGTGCCAAGTTCAATTTCTGCTCCTGCCACAGATCTTTTGGATGACCACCAGGATCTTTTTGCATTAATTTCTCACCTATAAACTGAGATAATAAAGCTGCTTTCTCTATCTTGGGTGTGTGTTGTCTGGGGTGCGGGCTGTCGCTTGCTGTGTATTTAGGCAGCAGTTATGCCCCAGCCTCACCTGGGAGCTTTGTGCATTACTGTAGCACAAACAACAACTGCATATGCAGCCTGTCTCACTCGCATCAACAAGAATATTAGTATTAGTCACAGTTAAAAGTTTCATTTGCATATGGTTAACCATTACTCTACTGAAGTGATCAGCCATGATTTCACACAGCCAGTCTTGTAACAAGGACATTGATTTACTGCAGCCTTGATTGCGTCAACAGAGACTAATGAACATGGTTACCAGGGGTACCACTTGTCAGCCAAGATCATTTGGTGGCAAAGTCATAATTATGCTCATAAGCCTGGTCTAATAATCGGGATCAAATATGGAGAAATCGTTGTGAAAAATATGGCTAATCCATATTTTGATCTGAAATCAATATTGCACTGAATTCCAATCCGTGAAGAGGAAAAGAGGACCAAATGCTCCTTGTCATCTAAGAAGCAGTAAGAATGCAGCTTATTTACAGTTTTAAGCCCTTCCTTTCCTTCCCTGCATGAATGGCAGTATGTGCTCATGCCTTGACTGAGCAGGCTCTTTATTTTTAATGATTTGGCAGTGAGGTAGCTGAATAAAGAAGGACATCAAGTTTGAGCCAAGTGGCCACCTGAGTGTCAGCAGCAAAATTTATAGACTTCCTCTTCCATAAATTATGCACGTGTTTGGGGGTAAGAGTTTCACTGTTACAAAAAAAAGGCCTTGGGGAGAACAGAAGAATATTCTTCATGTTCTGAAAACAATGCAGGACACCACTACCACAATCATCTTAAAGGAATGGTACACATGTAGCTTTGTTAAGGGAAACATATGCTTATAAAATGATCACAAGAATCCACCAGATGTCACTGCTGTGGAAGCCGAACATAGCAGACCAAGCAGTCAACTGGTGGTAAAAAATAGATCAAGCGTGAATAGCAAAGTTTCATACAACTCCAGTAAGCTTATATAAGAAAACAAGCCAGCTTTAAATGTGCTAACACCATTTCCTTTGCAATTTTTGTTGCCTTCTCTGCATAGACCAGAAGTGCCAGCAGAGTTTTCTTGTTACAACTTCAACTACACGTCACAGAGCACCACATATATATTCATGACCTCTATAGTTGGATGCCTTAAAAAAAAAAAAAAAAA